AGTGAGAAATATTGTAGCCACTTGTTCAAGAAAAGCCCTTTAATCGTAAGCAAATTGTATGTGACGTTAACATGGTCTGATTATGGTCTCACCGTCAGAAATTGAGATGATTTGGCTGAGAAGTTTGAGTTCCATCCATCCCATTGCACATAGAGATGATTATTTTTGGTTTGAAAGAACCAACTCACTTAGGCCTGCATAATTCCTTTATAAAATCGTTTTTTATTGAAATATAATTGCAAACACCGTGAGGCAACAACAACGACTGCGGCCATTTTTAGATCCTACACCACTTGTGGCACAGGATATATTATGTTTGTGCGGACGTACGCAACATGATAATGATCGATTAAGAGTCATTTCCTGAATCGTTCTTACCCTGAAGTCGTGAAGACCATCAACGCCTTCAAGGCAAAATATATTATCTGTCGAAAAATGCGTTAATTCTAAAATAAATATGATGGGCGCCACGAACTGGTAGATTAATCTTTTCTTAATAGCACCAAGCATATGGGTAGCAAATGAAAAGACTTGGAGAGTACTAGGCGACTAATTCTATATTAATTGTGGTGGGTGTCACGACATGGTGGATAAATTTTTTTTTAAAAATACCGTCCATATGGGTATCAAATAGAATCGCGTCCATATGGGCCTGGAAAATAGAATGCGAAAGGCTAAGTGTGCTCATTCTAAATAGATTATGGTAGACGTCAATAACTGGTAAATTAATTACACCCATCGCCGAAGGGTCAGGGATATATTCATTGTGTCTAAACATTTTCAACGCCCAGAAGAAAGTATACGAGACCCCACAAGGTACACATTTTCTTGATCAGCATCGAATTTTCAATCGATTTAAGCATGTCCGTCAGACCGTCCGTCCGTCTGTGTAATGTCTGGTGTAAACTTTCCCTTGCCGTAAAAACGAAGCTATCGACTTAAAATTTGGCAGAAACCTTGGAAGTTCACTCCCGCAGTACATCAAACTGTGTCTGTTTTTCCAAATTTGGTTCAATCTTTTAGCACTTGGTGAGAACTTACCGAGAACCACTTCTACAAACCAGCATGTCTCTGCGGCGGCCTTATTAACCGTACAGCTTAAAGATGTCCATTTCAAAGTCAAATCATAAAAGAAATCAATATCACCTAAGATCTTGACTCACCATTTCGCACAATTCGTATACCAGCGAAATCTTATATATGAACCCTTTCACCAAGGAAGGAGCCGTTATGCAGCCCATTAGCACGATTTTCGGAGAATTTAGAATAAAATATGAACAAGTAAGGAAGTTACATTCGGGCGATACCGAATCTCGCATATCCACCACCATCAAAATCTTTAGCGTCTCATGCCTTTATTTATTGGTATAAAAAATTGAATGGGACAAAATGTATCATTCTACTTCCTTTAAAGCTTTTTTTAAGAAGAATTAATTTACCACAGTCTTATTTATTTTATGATTAATAAGCATAAAGCCTCAAAAGGGTGAAAAAAAGAAAATTCAATAATGCGTAACATTGTCTGGTCAAGGCCGAGTGTTTCCATTTTCGCACATAAATAGGAGAGTTTTTCGTAAATTAAATGTTGAAATTTTAGCCTACCACCGTTTATAATTTGCAAGTAATGAGCAAAACCCCACAATTTTTGTTCAGAAGAACAAAAGAGGAGTTGCCTTTAGTTTACGCCTCACAGTGGGCTTGTGCTGCAACTAATTTGACCCGTTTTTAATACCAATTGACAAATTCGAAATCGATATCTTCAACGTAAACTGAGAACACTTCCGTTTTTCAAAGGTAATAAAATATTGTGGTTTTGCTCATTACTCATGAACTATAGCAAATAAATGTACAAGAATTTTAACGCATATTCTATGGGCGATGCTGTAGCAATTATGCACACAAATGGAAAAAATTGACACGCCTACCCAATATTATAGTGTATGAAAATTTAATTACTTTTTCAATAGCTTCATAACCCCCTAAGGTATACAAATTCTTGGCCAGTTGCAACTCTTGAATGCACCTAAACATAGCCGCGTGTTCGTTTGTCCGTCTGTCTGTTTGTGCAGCTTTGTAGCATTTGTGGTAAACATTCTTCCGTTAGCGAAAATGAAGGTGTCGGCTAGAAATTTGCAATTTGCAAAAAGAATTTGGAATTGAGCTAAACTTTTCAAAGGACACGTCCACAACGCCCACATGCCTATACGTCAAAAACTTTTATTTGGAAAATGGAAAAAATTAACTGCGCCCATTCCATTATGGAGCGTAAGAATTTTGTTCTTTTATTTTTTTTTTTGTCTTTCTTTCGCGTAAATGGTGATGGGCATAAAAGATTCGCTCCCGATATAATTTAATTTTCTTACTTGTTACACATGATCAAGTAAGCTTGCGGAATATATATACATCAGGCGGAATGCCCACTTTGCTCGGATTACGTTGCTTGGCAGCAGAGGAACTTCGGAACTAACGGAAAGGGAATCTTTTAAGACATTAGGTTATTGAAAATGTATAAATATATGATTTCATCAATTTGCCAACAACGTAAATTAAAATATAGATATCGTTACATGTTAAGATAAATTGTTGCGAGTGACTCCTTCTTGTGCTTTTCATATTCTTATGACGCGTTATTTTTATTGTAACGAACGATGATTGAAATATTCATAATATTTATTGACGTGATATGAACACCGTTTCGCGGACAGAAAAGGAAAGCGTAGCCTTAATGGAGTGATGGAGAGTTAATCTACGTACATACATGTTTCTGCGTGTACACATATAACAATTTTATTCGTAAGATTTGCGATCCCATGCAAATTATCGCAGTAAACTTTTGGTTTTCTGGGTCAAGGCAACTTATTTTGATGGCGATGCCGGCATTTCGCTAGAGACCTCCCGCTTGAGACGAACAAAAGGAGAAATAAGAATCGGCCAGTCCTCTGCACTTTCAAATTGATTTGTATTGACGTAAAGGACATAACGAATAAATCTAAAATATTTTGTAAAAATTGAAAAGTTGAATTTTATATATGTAATAAAATAATAAAACGCTATACATTATTTATAAATAAATTCACATTCATAGTGGCAAACTTGCCTCTTCCAATTTCCCATTCCAATTTCGAATGGCGAAAACCATACATAACTCACAATCAAATAGATTTCAAGAAACGTCGTCCAACTGAGAACCAGTTAACTAAAAGATACATAATCAGTGTCCTGATTAACTAACTTTATATACTGCCTTTGGGGTGTGCATGAAATGATAGAAACCAATTCAAGTGTGTGACGAAATTATTACGAAGACGGTTTAAACAATAAAAGATTTGCAATATGATTTAAATAAATGTAAAAATTCATTAAGTTTAAGTGAACACATCCATCATATTGTTTTATAATTTTCAAAAAAAACTTCTAGAACTGAAAGCTTGAACGCGAGTTATTAGTTATTAGCGATAGCGTATAGAGATAACATAGTTGAAAATGGAAAACTATTAAATATTTAAAAGTTCGAAAATTTTCCACGAATCATAATTTTCATCAAAAAATAAGAAAACTTATTTTTTAAACTTTTTCTAACTTTTGGGAATATGAGCATTTCATACTGTAATTAACTCAAAACGTTACGCTACCAGATTATGTTAAATTAAGCAAAGACTAACTTGTTATAATAGAGTTTATGCCCCCAGAGAATATAGGGGGAATATGTCCTTCGGCGTTAATTAAAAAAAGGCAAAAAAAAAAAAAAAAAAATAATATAGAAATTTCCAAATGCATTCATGGAATGAATATTGTGTATAACTTAATGAACATGTACACAGAATATATTTCTCTGTATATATATACATATATATATATATATATGTAAATCTATACGTATAGATTCGCTTGCATGTGAATACTTATGCATTTATGTAAATTTAAGGAATCTACAGTTTTATCGATTTTACTCCAAGAAAGAAAAAAATTTACAATCTTTTTATTGCATTAAATTTTCAAGTACGATGGACCTGCAGAGAAAAGATGTAAGTATACATGAATATCATTTGATTTCTGTAAATAATGCAAAGGCACACAAACGTAACATAGGTTCGTAATGCTATATATATATATATATATATAGATATACATATACATATATATATATGTATAGGTTTTATGTGCGATTATATGCTATTAATAAATTTTTGTCATTTACTTTTCACGCATTGTTATAGAGAGACACTACTGAGGAGCGTTAAAACGAATCAGAAAACTGTTGATTTTTTCCCATTTCATATAAATCTTCACAAGAGTACATTTACTTTGTACACATATACATGTATGTATATATATGTATACATTATAAATGTAAAGAGTAAGAACGGAATTTCGCCTTCCAGTCATGTGTTGAAGTATGCGGACTAAGAAGAATGTTAAAAACGGCAACAGTAGTTTCGTGTCATTTTTCTTATTCTTCCTCTTCTTCTTCCTTTTCTCTTTTCTCTTTTCTTTTTCCTTTTTTTTTTTTTTTTTAATTTAAATTTTATGCCTAGCCACGTTGATGAATTTCACTGATTTCAAAATTAATCCATAAATGTTAATGCGACACATATTTATTTAATGAAGTTATTAAAATAAAAAGTAATCAGGAAAGAAAAAAACGAAAGACAGAAAAAAGCTCATTCCAACGCACAGCACGGTTTTAATTCATATACAATATTAAAAGGATTAACATAATGAGCACACACACGCTAATTATAAATACATATGAATGTATTTAATGTTTAATTCCGAGATGTGTGCGAATATGCTACATATAAATTTGTGTGCTGCCTTGCATATATAATAAGCGTGCACGCATATATAAATACATGCATACACACATATCGCTGTGATTATGCATACACACACATAAATATAAATGAGTTTATTTTTATGTTTTTTGTACTAATGTTGAGGTTTCCTGGTTTTCTTTTTTTTATCGATTTATATTTATACCAAAACACACGCTCACTTACACATGCATACCAGCAGGATACATTCATTTACACAATTAATCTAAATATAATTAATGCATTGCGTACATTGTATGAAATGCATACAATTTATTTTCATTTATTTTTGTCTTTTTGAACTTTAATCACTTTTTTATGGTTGTTTTTTCTTTTTGTTTTTTTTTTCAATTTTTTTCTCCTCTTCTTCTTAGTTTTACTTCTTTTTTTTAATATAAAAAACGAATTCTGTCAATATGATAATTCAAATTGCATTCATTTGTGTGTGCACACACACGTACACATATACACACTTATATAAACACTACCACATACAATGCACAGACACATACATACATTAATACATGTATGGTTGTTTTGTGACTGCTATGAGTACGTGTGCGTCTCACGCGCTCATTACTATCTTCTGTGATTTCTGGAATATAACTAAATACGTATTTGACGTATTTGAGAATTATCCTGAATTCTCAGATTTTAAAGCAGTGAGTAACTCTTATACTATAAGAGTGTCGTGCACTCATTACTGGAAGAGAATGTGAAAACACAAATTATTGTAAATATATGTAAATCTCTTACGAAAGAGATACACAATTAATTTTCTGTGTAAAACGATGTATAAAAATGTTGTTTTACCTCCATAAAACCAAAACATGTCGATAAATTACTTTTGGTATCCCATTTGGAACAATAGTAAAGGAAAACTGTGCCACATTCCTATATATCAGGCCTTTAACCATTATTCCTTCGTCCAGTGCTCTACTGTGCGATATATCTACCTTCTTTAATATGGTATTATCTCTGTAGAAATCATTTTATGTGTTTCCATATGACGACTTTTACCTCTGCCAATATAAGAATTTCCCTAAATGTTGTGGGTACCAAAGTCGCAGGAGTTGTTATGGCCCTACACGTATTACAACTTATTTCTATGTGTTGGAAATAGGATAAGTATATTTTACTTTCCACTCATATTCTTCTACGGCAAGCAGTTTGTTATTTTTTGTGGGTATTGTAGGGCCGCAGCAATAAGCAATAACTGTGTAAGTAGGAACGGAATGGAATGGAAATATAACAAGAAATTATGATAGACTTCGAATGTGATCAACTAACCGATTGACAGCGCCAATTCGTTTTCGAATAGAGGCGTGGTCGAGAAGAAGATTGCACATCCTATTCCTCCTGGATCGAACCGCCGGCTAGGTACCACACCACCATCCGAAATAAAATACGTCACCATTCGTTGGGATTGCACGCTATAGATGCCGAATTAGGAATATTTTGCAAGAAGACCGCCCGTTCCGTCCGATGATCACTGATGATAGCTCATTTAAGTTAAATATCGACATTTAAATTTTAATTTTAAATGTTGGGTTCTTTAGGGGCAAATACATCTCGTTTCTTTATTATTCGAACTCTGTGCTCTAGTTAGTGACATAAATTAATTATTATAATAAAAGAAAATTGAATTATAATTTCATGATATATGAGGACTTTTATTCAGGTGGGGGATATAAGTATCAAAGATAAGGACGCCTTAAATAGCCGCCGAGGCTTACCCCAGCATTACCTTATTAAAAGCTAAATTTTTCCAACGAAGGAAAAATTCCGCTTCTCACGATGTTTATATGAAAGTTTCTAAAACTATAAACCACTCTTGCAAATGTAACGTAATAAACTTTCAAATGCCGTCGTTACAGATGTTTCTATTTTTAAGTCAAACATACACAATTGTTACTCCCGCTTTCTCGCCGTCGCCACATATATATAAACCAACAAAAAAGAATAAAAATTTTCTTTACAAAGTCAAAGTTGTGAATGTAAAAGTATTTGACTTTTCGCTTCGGTAAGTTAACAGTAGAAATTAGAGATTTTATGTACTCTCTTCAAACTCTCGCTTTCGTTCACTCTTTCATATTCGCTCTTTCATCAGCTCTCTCTTATATCCTCAATAAACATATGATGAAGCAGACATGCGTGTACACAAGTAAGAATACAAAATTGTAAATGCTTGTAATTATAACATTGAACATTGAATGTATTCCTTCGTGAATACGCTTGTGTTTGTGTACAATCCAAAATGCATATTTACGTGTATGTATTACAATAATCATATCGGTTTTTTCTATAATAAAATTGAAAACATATCTTATGTAAATATAAGACAAAAACAAAAGGCATTCAGGAAGAAATCAAATACGATCCGATTACGTCGCTCTTCTCAAGCATAACATTTGTCAGCAATTACAAGTTTCCTTGTCATCTACATTTTCACAATAATAAACATAAGCACTTGCCAAAATGAGCAAAACATTTATTTCGGGATTTGCTTACACTGAATACAATTTAAGGAGACAAGGGTTTACTATTGCGGCGATTAAGTACAAATACTTTATTTGGAATAACGTTGATCTTTCTCATACTTCTGCCGAAGATATCATCTACTATCTAGAACTTATTTATTTTATTATGGTGTACATAAGTTTCTGTGAGACAGGATTAAAATTAGAATAAAATAATTTTTCTTTTTTTAAATTCGTACTAGAACAAAAGATACGTTTTGAGAAGTATGTTTCATACCTTTGGTGAAAGTATTATTTCAAACCCGTGTAAAAAAGAATCATGTAAAACAAGACTTGGTTGTAAGATGGGCAGCGCTTTATAAGTAATTCTGTTTATATATTCTGCCGCATGTAAATATACATTCTTTTGATAATTGTAGTAGAACCTTATTTTAAAATTTAATGGACTGATACATAAAAGATTGAGGTAAACTTTGTAAAGAAAACAAGAAAAACAGACACGATGCAATCCTGGCTAGATCGTCACCGCTATTCATATATTAATCAAGATAATACGTAATCTACGGTCTTGCCTATTGATATTTCTATGCCTAATAAAAATCTGGTCAGCATCCTGTGCTGGATAAAACAACATGTTTGAAATGCTCCCCATGGCTCTTCTTAAGTGATGGCAATCAAAATTTGTAAGACTTTTCTTACCAATATTTGATCCTTAGCCTCAATCTCATTTCAAAAATTATTTTAAACATCTTCATTGGTTAATATATCGTATCCTATTCAAAAATTGATTGTCACATGACAACAAGCCGTTTTATTGATGAGAAATCCTTAAGTCTTCAATCCTTCTCTTCTCAATCCTTAGATTGTTTGGATAATTGCTTGCAACTGAAACGAAATGCGCATTATTCGTTGTAAGCAGAAGCCCGAAATGTTTAGTTTTCTGAGCGATTACTATTCGATTCTTTGAAGGGCCTATTTCGTTTTCATATTATTGAAATGTTGTTGGATTTGTGCTTTTCTCTTCTCAGTCTTCTCTTTCATAACAAATTCTTAGTTCGGTATATTCGCCAGTATTTAGATATCTATCAACAGAGCCAAAAATTAAACATTGGTTTAGTTAAATTTTTTGCGTTGTAATAAGACACAGGAATATAAGCAAACTTTTGCATTAGACACCATTTAGACGATTGAGTTGCCGTTATCTATGCTAACTTTTAAGAAAGGAATTTGAATTTTGGTGTCCGCTTAGATGCCTGCTATTGAGTGTAAATCTCTTGAGACTTTTACTGATGAAGGTAAATTAATTAATTCAGACTATCTCTGGGTTAGGCAAAGTAAAAATCAACTGTGAATTAAGTTTTCCTTTTTCAAATCGATTTCACAACATGTGTCTTTGATTACATATTCTCTTCCTAACAAATATCCTTTTGTTCTTCTATTCTTTTATCGTAGCTTGTTTTTTCACATTCGTCTGTCCAAATTTTTGTCCGTGCAAACGTTTGCCGTTTGTTGTTTCGCCTTCGGCCTTCTTTCTGTTCGGTCTTATTAACAATCTACTTTTCTTGCGTTCAACCTTCCTTCTGTTCGACAGGTCTTCCTTTCATGTGCAATTAGCTAGAAAGCCGTAACAGCAGATCTGCAATTTGACAGAAATGTTTATGATGTGAACTAAAGTCAGTATAGATATCCGAAAACATGGATTTATTTGTAAGCATTTATACGTGTTTATGCCATTTTGAAAGTTCAACTTTGATTAACTAAACGAACTGAACGGTTTACTTTAGCCAATATGAACATACTTCAATTAGTAAGTTTTACTGCACGTTATGAGAGTCAACATGTTTACTTGCTCACACAACAAATCGACAATTGTTGGTGCGCCCACATCTACATAGACGTATATTAACTGATTATTTGCCCAAGAGTATGCTGCACATGAGTGCAACAAGCCCGCTACATAACGCGTATACAAGTGTATATAAGAACGGATGAAATTTTGAATTTATGAATTAATTTCGTTATCAAGGGAGTTTCAGTTTCATTCACTAGTGAAATTTATAACAATAACGCTGCACCTGGAGAGTGGATGCATCATGCATACGTCTCTATATAATATATATCCATATGTATACATCTGTATATATATGTATGCGTATATATAAAATCGTTAATTCAAATATTTCACTGTCAAAACTTCTGTAATTGAATTTTCTGCATACACAAGAATTTACAGCAATAATATACGTATATACTACTACAACCACACTACTGTTGCTGTTGCTACGGTTTTTTTTTTTTTTGTTTTCTTTGTAGGAAACTTTTGGGTTTACTCGTTTTCTTAAACATTTTAACTTTCAAGTCGTAAAAATTCTTATAGCACATAAGAGTTTTCCTTTTATCCCTGCGCCTTTTTTTTTTAAATTTTGTGTTTTTGTTTTTGCTTCTGTTTTTCTTTGCTCTTCATTCTGCTGTGCAATATCAAACGCTAATCCTCGCCTAACGTGGTTTATATGGCGTACCTTGGTGCATGGAGCGCTTTTATGGATGTATACGCTTTTTTGCGCGTGTATGTGAGTGTGTGTGTGTGCACGCGAGAATATGTCTGCATGTATGTATATGTATTAATGTTTTTTTGTTATCGGTGCATTTGGTTTTTTCTACAATTTTAACAGCCTCTGATATGCTAAAAAGCAAAAAGTCTTATAATACATTTAAATATATGATGTAATGAATGCATTTATACACATACGCATAAACGCCAGCGTATGTGCGTATGTTGAGAAGGATGAAGATTTGTGTGCACATACCCTTTTGACATACATAATTCCTGTGTATGTCGGCAGACAAAAAAAGCCTTTAGC